TTCGGCTCATCTATCTTGGGCATCTACGTTAGGCTGCAATAAATCATTCCCTAGAGGTCTCGTTGTTTCTCCACTGACTGTACGGGGATCTTAGAAAAGATGTCTAACTTTCAGGTGGCTAAAGCAGGATGGCAGCTATCTAGGCCTGACTGTGCAAGTCAGAGCAGAAACAATTGTATTTAGGGGTCTTCTGCCGGCAGCAGCATGTTCCCAGGTGAAAAGAACGTTGTTGTGCTTGACAGGCGTGGTAGGAATAAAGTCCTTTCAACAAGGTACATTTCTGAACAGTTTTTCTTTTGCTATGCAGAGTATTGGCAGGAGGTACTGAGCGGTCTGTAACCAGACCAGACAAAAGAGGCAAAGGTAGAGTCAAGGTCTGATTTCATCCAGGCAGGCTGGTCTAGGGTTTCCACACAGATAGGCTGTATTTTCAAACAATGTTTTTTCCTTTTCGCTGGTCTCCAGTGCTCCTTGATTTTAGTGGTTATCTAATATTACACATGATGTTGGTTACTACACCATCACCCTGCTGTTAAATACAAGAGTTCATACACAGATTCTTTCACATACTATGAGATTGAAAACTAATCTTCTGGCACAAGTATTTATTCTCATTACAGTATTTCCCTGTAGCAAATCTGCCCAACATAGAAACAGAACTAGAAAGGGGCCACTAAATAACACTATGGGATACAAGGTGAGTTAGATAAGCTCACCCCCAGCCCTTTCTGCTGATCGGTGTTCTGTGATGAACGTTGTGAAATCAAAAAAGAAGGGGTCATATGGAAAGAGTCTGTGCTGGCACTAAGGTCCAGTTGAAAGAATAAAAAAGAGCAGAAACATAAGATGTGTTGTGCACAGAATATTTAAGCGATATCACAGGCCATACAGCCCCAGGGAGAGGAGTGTTTGTAACCTGAGTGTTTAAGAGGAATCTCAGTGAAGACCTAAGGATCAGGAAAGCACGATGCCAATGGCTGTGTGTATAGGTGACAGTTGCAATGCAGGCAACTGATGTCTGAGCTATGAGGAAGGAAAACTATCCAAAGGGAGAAAAGAAATTATGTATATGGTTGGAAATAGTAACCTTCCAAATAGATGGCAGATGGAATCAGATGTGTGAAGCCTGGCAGGACACTCAGGAAATGTTTACACTAAGTTATGGAGATTTGGGCTATGTTCCAGACTGGCTGGGTACAAGCTACCTTGATCAGAGGTTGTACACCCACATCAGTACCTCTGTGCCCGAGTTGCTTCCTAACACATCCTGCTGAAATGATGCAATTAGTATGGGCAGAGCACCCCAGAATCCAGAGATAAGTCTGAGTGAGCTCTGATCTATTTGTTCCCAAGTGGATATGCATGGATTCATGCTTCTACACCTCCTGCAGCCATTATGATGTATATATTTACATGCACAGATGTTCCATTATCAAATGGAATTTAACAGTAGCTTACACATAGTCACACAGTCTTGAGAGATGCAGAAAAAAAGCCCATCTAAAGAAAATGTGCCTCAAGAAAAAAGGAACCATATTATTTTAAATGCATGCACAAGAAGAACGTACCTTTCCCCACCTGGAGAACTGTAGCAGTTATCACACACAAAATAGAAGTCTGATATGGGGTGGGGGGAAATAGACACAGAAAATCAGGAAGAGGACCTTTGATCAGAAAACTGTAGTTTAGGAACAGAATACAAAGAAAGGATAGTAATACTTGTGAGTTGATTCTATAGGGGTTATTGCTTCTATAGGGGTTATCGATTTCTTTCTTTTAATGATTCTTCCACCATTCATCTGCACCACACAACACAACAGTCACTTACGTTTGCAGACCTCTATAGAAGTCATGGGTTTCCCTCTATCTCGGTAATACCCCGGTTTGCACCTCTGACACCGATGTCCCTCTGTGTTATGCTTGCAGTTGTCGCAGACTCCACCACTGCGCTTTCCCGACGCCAGCCAAACGCTCAGATCAAAGTGGCAGCTATCAGCGTGGTTGTGACAGCGACACTCTGGCAGGAACCAGGAGAATATATTTCAGGCTTATATAATAGGCACAGCAATACTATTCCAATGGTATCATTTTCCTACTGTGAATCATGGAGGAAATATCTCAATGTAACACATTTCATCTGCCTGAAACCCTTGATTTTCACAAAAACTAGAAATTGCAGCACAGAATGGGAGTCTCAGCAGGGTCTGAGAAGCTCGGGTGGTTGTGAGCTATGTGCTATCCTTACAGGAAGAGAAACCAATCTGATGGTATTGTAAGCCCTGCACAAAACCCCAGAGTACTAGAACACATGAGGGGATGTAGCTGCATGAAGAACAGATTTCTGCCTTGTAAATTCCACTTCCCAACAGCCCAAATGGGTCAGCTGCAGTAAAACAAGGGGCATACTGAAGTTCTCCATCAGTGACCACCAGCATATCCCCAGTTTCTGTAGTGGCACCATTAGTGTAAATGGACAGAAGTCTTTGTTTTGGTAACTCTGCCTGCTGTCATGGTGAGTGCTCATCCCGAAAGCCTGGATGAGTAAACTCCCTCCCACTTACTTCTGCATTCGTTTGGTGCCCCTGTTTTTCCGTCTCCTGGCTTCCAAGGCTGATCGTTGTATAGCGCTGCACACTTCTCACAGTGGTCCCCCGCCGTATTGTGCCTACACACACACTTCCCGTGGACCTGTCAGGGGAAAGCGAACCCGTGCAAATAGCTACGCGCACAAACACGGTGGAGTGCCCACCAGCCTCACGAGGAGGTGGGACTTCTGTACAACTCCCACACAGCTGCTGGCTCTCTTAGGAAACCCACAGAGCCTGTGCTTAAATGTGTAGCTTTATATCCTTACACAGTCACTAAGGATGCAGATTTTTCCTCTGTCATCTTATTTAGATGCAAGTGGCAACAATCATCTTTTTTTTTTGTTCTCCAGTTGGCTGTTTTACTACCACGTTGATGAACAGCCTTTAGACTATTTGAACTGGGTAAGCTAACACAGTTTATTTGGATTTACAAGTTCAGGGCAAGAGCATGCAAAGAGCCTGAGCAGGTCATCACCTCCAGGCAGTGTCAAATACACTCTTGGCTAGCAGGGCTGAGTCACAGGAGAGCATGGCCTCACAGAGGATCCTGGAACCTGTCTTATCTGATATTAATAGTGGTCTGGAAAAGTGTAAGTATAGGTCAGTGGAATCACCATGGATTACTAGATTATAACTGTTAGGAGAATGAACAAATAATCCTGAATCTCCTAGCAGAGTCAAAATATTAAACCTGGTAAATACCAACCAGTGTACCTACAGAAAAACAATCCAAACCACATATTCTGTGAGAGGAAAGCACGGATGTTTAAAGAGACTTAGGTTCAGTAGGCACCAATGTACCATTTTACGCACACATATGTAAGGAATAGGTTAGCAGAAAAGGCACAGTAAAATTTCAGGCAGCGTAACTAGGAGTCCTGTTAGTCCAAGTGGAAAAGAAATTGTACCTGCAACACTGTGTTCAGTTCTGAATATCTTATTACCAGATAAATGAGAAACTGGAAGATGTTCAACAAAAATGAGTGCAACCTGGCAAGACTGAAGAATGGGGGTGACCTACAAGCACTAAGCATATAAACCCACCTAAGCTAGGAAATGGTTTACAACATATTAGAGGGGGAAACAAAGAAAGAAGTGCAAAAAGTATTGACAAAAATTGGCTGAATAATAGAGTTCTTTGTGAACATTTGCTTGAAAAATTACTTGAAAAAAAGAACTTGCTTACTCTGTACTTATCTGCCTTCATTGGAACAAAACAATGAATTTTAATCATGGAAATATTCTCATATATGTCAGTTTTGGAATCAGGTATTCACACCAGAAGCCTGATCTTGGAAATTGAGCTGGTCCAGCCTTCAAACAGAAAGTTACCACTGAAACTGATTCTGTTCTCAAGGCACTTCACACCCCAGGAGTATGGTAGCCAGTTCCACTATAGACTGTAGTTTGGTGCACAAGATTCTGTAATATCAAGCTACATCCAATAATGCTTTACAGAAGGGTTTTTTTTGTTGTGATTGAGGTTTTTGTTTTGTTTGGTTTTAATTAAGAAAAGGGATACCAATGTTTGTTTACAATACCTCAGAGAAAGGATATCCCTGAGAAATTCTTTGAGGAAATATCCAGCATGTGGTGTAGGAGAAAGGGAAAGGCGGGACCATAGGCCATGTCCTGCACCCATCACAAGACAAGCTGCTAATTAGTGCTATTTCACATGCAGAAAACACTTGCGCTAGAGCAAGAAATGCACAGAAATCAGGGACTACACCCCTCTGCCTCCATGCACCGGGGAAGGATGCTAAGCTCTGTAACACCACTGTCACTGCTCTGGCCCACTGCACGTTACACAAAAAGCAGAGGCTGAGATTTCATTTTGACGGGGGTGTGAATTGAATCTAATCCTTTAATCTCACCACTAATGTGAGTTATGTTTCTCCATATTCTTTTGTCAAAGTCAGGCTCTCCCTTTGCAGTCCCCCCCGTCCCTTATTTCACATAGCAGGTAGCTTGGGACCAAGAGGGAAACGTTCGAAAGAGCAGTTGCGTGAATGCGCTCCCCTGCCCCCAAACCCATCTCCCTGCAGCAATTTGCTCTCCGCTCCCCTGGTTTCTAATCCTCCCAGACCAGATATGTCATGTAGCTAGCAAAGGGGATAGGCTGCAGCTGATGCCATCGCCCTCCGTGGCCAGCTGGCAGCTTTGCTGCTGCACAGAGCGGTTGGCTGCCTCCTCACGGAAGACTGAGCACAGACTTCAGGGTATGCATTTCTGTCAGAGCTCAGCACCAGTAAACCTCAGGAGGATACAGCATGTAGCACATTATGTGGTGCCTCTCCAGACCTTTGCACAAGAAAGCCATCCATGTTCAAAGCACTAAGTAGAATGACAAATTACAGTGACTTAAGACAATAAAACTGAAGAGCAACAGTGTTGAGAGCTTCTCCCACTTCGGGTTTGGCTCTTCAGGCATTTAAGTTTCCCTGTGCGGACACAGTGTCTGCTTTTCAAAAGCCACAGAACATAGAGAAGAACCAGAATTGGGGAAAGATAATGGAAGCCAGAACCATAGACTTCAATGTCCCTAAATCTCAGGCACTATGAACTTTATAGCTCATTCCAAAATGGACCAGAACTGAAACCTTGGATCCAGTCATTTCTGAGGAAAATGCTGGTATATTTCAATGCAAAATTTGTGAGTTGTCCCATTGGGGTTTTTAGAGATATATACACAAACTGTGCATTCACTATACACAAAAAAAATTTGTGTGAACAAGAATGAGATTGTACATTTGGGAAATGGCAGAATTAAACGATGCAATCTTGTTTAATCTTTGAATGGCATGATCAGACATTCATTATTCCACAGGACCCTGTGCTTACAGGGCACAGCACAGATGGTGTGAACACTCATGAACAGTTATTCAGAAAGCAAACAGGAAAACTCAGTGGCAAAGGAAGAGTGTGGTTGTTCTTTGGAGGTAGGTAGATGGGTTAGTTTGCTCATTGCCCACTGATTTGTTGCAAACTGTAGTTTGTGGAGGCTATCTAGGAATGGCATGTTATGAGTAGGACAGAGGCATAAAGGAAGCTTCCTGCCTGTGATCCCTGCTATTGAACAATTTACCAAATACATGTGGAAGGATGACTGGCTTAGACAAAAGGGTTGAAAAGCCAAGCAGCCAGCAGACAGGAGAGGCACTGAGCAGGCAATAAACAGTGTAGCTGGCATGGAATTTTTTTTAAAAAGTGTTAGGTCTGAGGACTAACCTTTTTTGTAGAGGTTTAAGAACAAGGAAAAGAGAATTGATGGATATTGGGACAAAGGTAAAGGATAATGGAAGAGAAGGCAGGTCTGCCATATGTTATCTATGGATTGGTGTCTCATGGAAGATTATTTCCATGTAAAATAATCTTACAGTTAGCATTCACAGGTGAAAACAGCTAAAGAGGAGAGTACAAATGAGGTGACAAAAGTACAGAAGGGGTGGAGTAGGAGAAGAGAGCAGTGACAAATAGTTTGACTAGAACACACACAAGAAAGGTGATTCACAGATGTAAACGGCCACTGCAGAAAGAGAGGTTAATGCAAGATAAACTGAGCTGTTAAGAGACCTGTTACAGTTAAACGTGAGGGTAGGTGAGGTAGCTGCAAGTAACAAGGCCAACAATTTGTTCTGTTAGACGGGAAGAGATAGGAGAGGCAGTCAGACACCAAAGTCCAGGAAGGAACAAGAATGAAATACAGGAAGCTATCAGATAAGATAGGAAATGGGATATCTACTTAGGGAAGAGAGAATGTGAAAATCACACTCAACACCAGCACAAGGACAGCAGGCATGTCCCTGGGTTGTTACTCACTGCTGAATTAAGTCCACACGTCTCTCACAAAAGTGGGTCCAAAAAACTAGAGGACTCTGTTCTCTACGAAATGCAAGACCTCAGGGTGCACTGGATCTTGCTGGAACACTGAGATGATCATGCCAAGGTAGATAAAATAGTCAGAAAAGTACAGATTCAGGGGAACCACAATGATTTTTTTTTTTCTGGGCTCTATAAAGCACTGTGAGAGTTTCAAGGATATAATGGTGATTAAGGAGATGATGGTCAAGGAGCAGCAAGGGCAAGTTGCTCTTTAAGGGTTGAAGAGCTACAGCACAGGCTGTGCCCTTGCTGAGGGGGCACCATCCTGAGCACAGTCCATTGACAGCCCCAGGCACAGCAAGGAACGGACTGGGGAAATACATGAGCAGCAAGAGACAGGGCCAGAAACAAGCTCACAATATCAAAGTCCACCCAGAGACAAGCTACAACCTGTGAGGTAGTCCACCAGGAAGGAAGATACCTACAGCACAGGCCCAAGGTCCATCCAGGAGGCAGGGCCAGAGGCAGGAATACCAACAGTCAAATACCTCAAACAAGGAGAGCTAGCCCTGGGCTGAGCTTAAATGGAGTCCCAAGGCCAATGGGCAGAGATCTTGGGTAGGAGTCCCAGGTGGGGCTGGTCAGGGCTGTTAAAGTGCTTTTAGTGCCTTCAGGACCCTGGTAATAGTACTTTGATTGCCACAGGATTAATGTAATTGGAAGCTTTAGGGTATCTGACTACTAGGAGGCATCTGAGGAAAAAAATACTTCAGTTTTCTAGATTTGGGGCTGGCAATCCGGGTGGAAGGAGCTTAAAAGCAAGGTGTGAGGAACAGAGGCTCACATGAGATTCATGCCATCAATTAGGAAACCTGGCCAGTTTTCAGCTAAAGCCCGATTAGTTTATGACACGGATTTATGTGAATACAGACAAATGTATTGGT